TGTGATTGGTCACAGCTTGTCACAAGGTACAAGGCTGTTGTGAATAGCCTTGTACCATGTGACATCTGTGATCATTTACAGATTTCACATGTAGAAAGCAATGATGTCAGAAGTGACATCTTGCTTACTACTCTTCATGTAATCACTGATTGGCCAATCAGTGATCACATGATCGGGACCTCACACAGAGGTCCTGTACAACGATCGTTATTCCACTGTGTTCAGAGGATACAGTGGGCACTGGATCGCGGTGCTGCACGCTCCGAGGTATAAATGGTTATAAACGGCCACCTGCCCCTGCACTGCCACCGTCTGGCCATTAATATACAACGGCCGGACGGGAAGTGGTTAAAGGGGTCTTTCTTTGTTTTTAGTTTCATCACTTTGTATTTGGCCACAAATTTTATATTTTTTTTAATTTTGGTGGTTTTGGACATTTATTTTATAACCACAGAATTTAATATGATTTGTGTATAATTACTTTTGATTCATTTCATGTTTTGCGCTGTTTTATTGATTCACTGATTTTTATCAATCTTTTTGATTCTTATCAAGGCACAGCAGCATTCACTTTAACATTTTTTACATAGTTCTTGTGGGGCAGTTTGTTTTTGTTTTAATCTAACATGTCACGCTTTAAATATATGCATACTTGTGGAATGGCGACAAACTATAGTACATTAAATTATCTACAGGTGACACTTTCAAAGTCATTACAGGTTTAGAGTTGCATAGGAGGTCTGGTGCTAGAATTATTGTTCTCATAACATTTGCAGCGATACCTCACATGTGTGGTGCAAACGCTGTTCACATATGCATGCGTGACCTATGTGTTCGTAACCTGTGTGTTCGTAACCTATGTACGTGAGCATGGGGTGAGAGGGGCACTTTACTTTTCTTTATTATTTCTTTTATTTAAAATTGTGGATTTTTTTGATTCTTTAACTTTTTTTTTTTTTTTTAAATCGCTTATATTGCTATCACAAGGGATGGACAACATCCCTTGTGATAGCATGGGCAGTGACAGGTTCTCTTTACCGAGACATCTGGGGTCTATTAGACCACAGATCTCATCTCTGCCCTTTAAAGCATCACAGCAAACTCTGATCAGCTTGATCAGATGCTTTCACAAGCCAGTAACAGCCTGTTTACAGGAGACTAAAAAAACAGAAGTGACAAAATACTCGTCGCTTCCAGTTTCTTAGACCAAAGAAATGATTGAGGACTTTTCTGGTTCTTGGTCAACTCTATGGACAGCTGGCGGAAACGGGGACCCAATTCCACCACATGTAAAAATTATATAGCGGATAATTAACCGCTCGGATCACTTTTACTTTATCCAGCATCACAGACTGAAAAAAAAAAAAAAAAAAAAAAAAAAAAAAAAAGATACCTGGGTCAAAACGAACCACGGCACCGGTGTAACTACTGCAACCAGATCGGTCTCATTACCGGCATACTAGTTTGGACTCAAGCTGGCCATACACCAAAAGAATTTTGTCAGAAATGTTTTTATAAAGTTTGATTCTGTAATTGTGGAGTCAAAATGATATTTTCGTCTGTAGTAGAATTCAGGAGCAGGATGGGAACGGTTCTTGAATTAACAAAATTCTAACTGTGAATGTAGTTTTAATGTGGGGGGAAAAAAAACATGTCTGGGACGCCATTCAAGTAACAGGTCTGGATGAAATTTTAAAGGGGCTTTTAAACAAAATTAGTTAATTCAATGATGGCAAGAAAAAACGTTCAGATGAACGATTCTTCAGGATTTCTTTACAAATATTTGAACTAAAATCTAGCCACATATGGCCAGCTTCAGTAATCCAAAGTACTGAAGCCTGAGGGTCGTCATGATAGCCAAGGGACTAGCCAGAAGTCAGGAGTTGCAGCGCTCTTGATTCTCTCAGGAAGGGTTTCCTTTAAATGGGAAAATGAAATGCAAGAAGATGAAGCAATCCTATATTCGAAATATAATTGGCCAAAAAGCTCTCCCTGCAAAAGAAGAAATCAAATGCTCACCCCTCCAGCTACACGTGCTGCCGAACACCAAAGAGAAATGTCTCTCTGACATCTGTATAGAAACTCACACTTTTGGTCTCCTGGTTCCTCACTGCACTTAGTGGTTCCTCCTGCCGACCTCCACATTGGCATGGGAGCCACTGAGCACAGCAAGGATCCAGTTGATTGACTTCAGAGGAAGATTTCTCTTCAACAAAACACACTGGTGGTAGGTTGGTGGAAGGTACCAATGAGCAAAGCAGGGGACCAGGAGATTGATTTCAGAGGAAGATTTCTCTTCAATGGAGTGGCATTCGGTGGCACTGTTAGTACTCTCCATCTGTAGAGAAAGCTTTTGGCCAATTTAATTTTCTCTGTAGAGTAGATCTAATGGAAGAGGTCTGTACTATTCATGGAAATTCCACACAAAGGTGTCAAAACACAGAGCAAATAAAAGTAAAACAAGTCAGTGGCAAGTATACATTTCACAGAAGTCCTCCAAATGATGTGTAAAAAGATGCTTCGTGAAAGGTGGAAGTGCTAAAATGTCCAATGTAAAAAAGCCTTGTTAATATACCTAATGGATTTCATCTTACAGATATACCCTATTTTTGGTAGAACTAATACAAAGTATACTAAATATACACCAAGTACAATTAGACTTAGGCCGGCCGTACACGGTTGTTTTTTTTTTCTCGTTCAGCCGCATGAACGAGGTAGATATAGGAATCCCCACCACCAGGACACGGTATTACACTAATCAGTGGCTGTTCCTGATTGAAATGAAAGTTTTGGTTACTGCTCAGGCTCCTGTATCTAGATCTGGTAGACTCAACTGTGGGAGCCGGCACTGTGTAGTCAGACAGGAGGAAGGAAAATTTCTGATTGCTTCACTCCAAACAAACCCAGCAGTCATACGGGTCATAGATTGAGGCCGCTATCACCATTGTGACCACGGTATTTGTTTGGAGTCCAGCAATCAGAACTTTTCCTTCCTCCTGCTGCTGACGGAGTTAAAATTTCCAATATGTTTGTTAGACAAAAGTCAATCAAACAATCGATTTCTGTTGAGCAAGTATGGCCACACAATGATCGAAAATGGGCTGAACCTGCCGAAATTTGATCAGTGTATGGCCAGCTTAACCACTGAAAGTCCGGACACTTTCACCCTCCTCCAGTTCAGACCAATTTTCAGCTTTCAGCACGATCACACTTTGAGTGTGAGGTTGAGCAACACTGTACTCATATTAAATTTGTATCAGTTTTTTGAGACAGATAGAGCTATCTTTTGGTGGTATTTGACCACCACTGGGTTTGTTATTTTTTACTATATAAATGAAAAAATGCCAAACATTTTGAAAAATGTGATCAGGGTGCTGGTACGGGGCATGGCAGTGATCAGGGCGCTGGTATGGAGTGTGGCCATGTTATTGTGTGCACTGGGACAGATGACAGGGCTGGCTGTATTGTTGGCTATAGACTATAATGGGCAGTGATCAGGGACATTGGGGTGGCTGGCACACCAGTTTGCGAGTGTACATGCAGCCTGACGGGCAGCTACACAATCACAAGCTGCTGCAGCCCTTCTCTGCTCTCACACTAAGAGCAGAGAGAACCGATCTTCACTTTCAATGTTTATAATATGAGCGCTGTGATTGGTCATAGCAGTCACATGTTAAAACACCATGTGATCGCCTGGACACAGCAGTAATGTGATCCGCTATGACTGGATGACATTCGGATCACTGGGCTCCCAGGTGCACGCTCTGTGAGCCGCTGATGTGGGCTCATGTACAGGTGCATTAGCCCGCATTGGCAAAGCTTCCCGCCTGCCGTCTATAAGCAATGGGCGGATGGGAAGAGGTTCAAGAAGAATTCCAGGGATAGATATTTTATACCTACATTGGTCCAGCTTTGAACAACATAACTATGCATATGTCATATCAAGCCAATCCCTTTGGAAGCTGGAAATCACTGAAGTGGACACTGTCCCATGGTCCTGTGCTGAGCAGCTGCCCTGCTGCATTCTGAATAAAAGGTTGGCTGCAAATTATGGGCACCATTCATGGATTGCTTTGCAATTTCTGCATGGAAGAAATGAGGTGATGGCATTCCACTCTTCACCTCGTCCAGTCAGAGAATGCTTCGTATCCATTCAGGAAAATGACGCCAGTGCCGAACAGTCACTCAGCACGGGACCTGGAAAGGGCATCAGCCAGGTATGGTATATACATAGTTACAATGGTCCAAGCTGAACCAATGTAACTATGTACAAAACATCCAAACCTTCTGTCCCTTTAAAAGGATCCAAATGCCGGGAAGCAGAAGCAGGTATTCGAATCATGTGACTGTTGCAATTGGCTGTCACAGCAGTCACATGATTGAAATTTCCCGATTGCAAGTATGCATAGGGAGCTTTCAGTGACATTTTAGTTTCTGGAAGTGCACTCTCAGCACAGTAAACTGTTTACCTATAGACGCATATATGCAACCACTTGGAGTTAAAGGCACCCCGCCAAGAGGCTGTATATATGCATGTGGCTGGCAGGAAGTGCTTAAATCTGCCACCTATTACCTCCTCTTTATTCTTGAGCTGCCCACACAAGCCTGGAGTAGTGTAAACCAGGGGTCTCCAAACTGCGGCCCTTTGCTTGCCTTTTTCCAGCCCTTGGGGCACTATTCCTCCCGTTAACATCAACAAGGAGGCACCATTCCTTCCAGTGACATCAATAGCAGGGAACCATTTCTCTCACTGACACCAACAATGGGGCATATTTCCTTCTAAAGACACCAGTGACTGGCACCATTCCCCTATGAGACCAGCAGTGGAGCATACGTCCTACCACTGATACCAATGACGGGGCGCCATTCCTCCCACTGATACCAATGACGGGGCGCCATTCCTCCCACTGATACCAATGACGGGGCACCATTCCTCCCACTGATACCAATGACGGGGCACCATTCCTCCCACTGATACCAATGACGGGGCACCATTCCTCCCACTGATACCAATGACGGGGCACCATTCCTCCCACTGATACCAATGAAGGGGCACCATTCCTCCCACTGATACCAATGACGGGGCACCATTTCTCCCACTGATACCAATGACGGGGCACCATTCCTCCCACCGATACCAATGACGGGGCACCATTCCTCCCACCGATACCAATGACGGGGCACCATTCCTCCCACCGATACCAATGACGGGGCACCATTCCTCCCACCGATACCAATGACGGGGCACCATTCCTCCCACCGATACCAATGACGGGGCACCATTCCTCCCACTGATACCAATGACGGGGCACCATTCCTCCCACTGAGACCAATGACGGGGCACCATTCCTCCCACTGAGACCAATGACTGGGCACATTCCTCCCACTAATATCAATGAAAGGGCACCATTCCTCCCACTGATACCAATGACGGGGCACCATTCCTCCCACTAATATCAATGACAGGGCACCATTCCTCCCACTAATATCAATGACAGGGCACCATTCCTCCCACTAATATCAATGACAGGGCACCATTCCTCCCACTAATATCAATGACGGGGCACCATTCCTCCCACTGATACCAATGACAGGGCACCATTCCTCCCACTGATACCAATGACGGGGCACTATTCCTCCCACTGATACCAATGATGGGGCACCATTCCTCCCACTGATACCAATGACGGGGCACTATTCCTCCCACTAATATCAATGATGAGGCACTATTCCTTCTCCAAGCATGAGACATTGTTTACTTTGACTGACACTGGGGCATTATTTTCCCCCCCCAGCCACTCCGGGCCCCCTTAAAGTCTGAAGAACAATAAACTGGCCCTTTTTTTTTAGAAAGTCTGGAACCTCCTGGTGTAAACAATGCTTTGTTTACAACCAACTTGTCAGTATTCACTATCTTGAGTTTCAGAGTGATTTCTCATAACTCCCTATCCTGGAAATGTAAAAGGAAACGTTCACCCTTTTCAGGGGAAGAACACCAACATTAGTTCAAGTATGTGGACAACATGCAGGGCAAGATTAGAACATCAGAAATGTAAGGTTTTAGGGAACACAAACTCAGTTGAAATAAACATCCAGTTTACGAAGAGGCACAGGATAACACATTACCCCTTTTCGGATTGTGTTACATGCCGGGGGTCTGGGACTTGCACATTGAATACATTGAGCACAGAAAACCCACCCAAACAGACCAGTATCTGCTTTTGGCTCCAACCACCCAATGAAAAACAAACTAGGCGTTATCAGAACTGTGCAACATCGGGCAGAGACGGCATCAACAAACACAGCTTTTAAAGACAAAGAGCATTGACATCTCAGGAGTCCTTTGAACTGACTGGACCTTCATTAAAAAATCAACAAGGTCAAGCAAAAACACAGGACCATCGAACAAAGGGGAGAGGCCGAACACACCGGGTGATGTCATCCTGTATGTAGCTGAAATGTCAGAAAAACTCAGAAGGATCAGTTTTCCTACGCCTTAAAGTGGATGTAAACCTCAGACATGAAATATGAACAAAGCATGTCCCACTATAGCAGGGGTCTCCAAACTGCATCCCTTTGCATGCTGTTATCTGGCCCTTGGGGCACTATTTTATTCACCAACAATGGCGCACAGTTCCTGCCAATGACACCAACAATGGGGCCCAATGACACCGACAATGGGGCACACTTCCTCCCCATGACGCCGACAATGGGGCACACTTCCTCCCCATGACGCCGACAATGGGACCCAATGCCTCCCCATGACGCCGACAATGTGACCCAATGCCTCCCCATGACGCCGACAATGGGACCCAATGCCTCCCCATGACGCCGACAATGGGACCCAATGCCTATCAATGACGCCAACGATGGGGCACAATTACTCCCAATCACACCAATGATAGAAAACTATTCCTGCCAATCACACCAGTGATGGGACACTATTCCTACCAATGAGACCAATGGTGAGGCACTATTCCTACCAATGACACCAATAATGGGGCACAGTTCATCCCAATGACACCAATAATGGGGCACAGTTCATCCCAATGACACCAATAATGGGGCACAGTTCATCCCAATGACACCAATAATGGGGCACAGTTCATCCCAATGACACCAATAATGGGGCACAGTTCATCCCAATGACACCAATAATGGGGCACAGTTCATCCCAATGACACCAATAATGGGGCACAGTTCATCCCAATGACACCAATAATGGGGCACAGTTCATCCCAATGACACCAATAATGGGGCACAGTTCATCCCAATGACACCAATAATGGGGCACAGTTCATCCCAATGACACCAATAATGGGGCACAGTTCATCCCAATGACACCAAGGATAGAACATTGTTTACTCCAACTGATGCTGGGACATTTTCTACTCCCGATGGCCACATTGTGGCCCCTTTAAAGTCTGAAGGACAGTAAACTGGCCCTTTGTTTAAAAAGTGTGGAAACCCCTGATCTATAGTGTGTACTTGTCTCAATTCGGATAACTAAGTGTCATTTCTGTCTGCTGCCTCCTTCCTCTGCTATCACTATGGATCACTTTTGACGTTTTCCTGAAACCTAGAGGAAAATGGCGACAAGGGAGGGACCCTCCAGCTGATTGACAGCCTCAGCTCAGCTGTTCCCATGTGCTGTGTGAAGGGGGTGTGTCTTTTCCCATCAATCAGCTCTCAGAGCTCCCCTCACTGAGCACTGCAGAGTGTAACTTCAACTCTCCGCCCCCTTTTTTGCTCAACTCTATGCAGAAATGTGCAAACCACGTCGCCTAATGCCGGGACATGCAGTCCCGAACACTGGGCAGGTTAGGTTTTTTTTTTTTTTTTTTTTTATTTAGCCCTGCTGGGTTTACTTTATGTGGTGCGATTTTCACCTCAGTTTTCAGTGCGATTGTGAAAGGTAGTTATTCTGCGATTCAAATCTGTCTTCCAGCCACTTCGATGCAAAACCGGCTATGAATGGCATCCTATGTAAACAGTTATCTCAGAATGCCACTATACTCTATGCTGTGCGGGTTTGCAATCCATCGCTTCAAACTCGCACAGGACCCTTTTTATTTTTACCCAGTTCAAAATCGCAATGCATAGATGTGAACGTCCTTCATAGAAAACAATGTATTTTCAGATGTCATGCGAATCTATGCCTTTCGGATCACATCTGATCCGCATCCGTGTGAACCAGGACTAAGGCTCCATTAATGCTCAAGTGTTTTGGGATCACGGCAGAATTGCTGCGATTCTGCCTGTGATCTCAAAAACCACTACAATCGCAAAACAGATTTAATGGCATCTAAAATGCAGTGCGGTTTTGCCTCAACTCTTGCACCATTTATCACTCAGCAATCCGCGGCAAATCGCATTGTGTGAAGCCTGTCACCCAAAAACAAGCAGGAGCTTCTTTTGGGCAGCAAGTTTCATGCAATGTGATTTTCTGTGACTGCTGAGTGACAAAACTGCTGAGTGTTTTAGGTGAAAATAATGGCACCTGAACTTGTGTTGTGCAAATATAGTGTGTTGTGAAATCATGGGCAGAATTGCTGTGATACTACCACAATCCCACAACAGCCAGGAGTGAATGGAGCGTCATTGAGTGGAAACCGGAGATTGTTTGGGCTGCTCAGCATGCGCTTGTACGGAGCACCCAAGTGCTTCCATGTGTGAGGGTAACCTGAAGGAAATACGTTTTTTTTCCCCCAGTGACTCCTGTGAGTGCAGAGGATCTGATGACCCCCCTTTTGGTCTCGCACACAGGCGAGGATCCTGTGACCGCGCGCAGAAGAGGATCCTGTGACCGCGCGCAGAAGAGGATCCTGTGACCCCTGTGATTGCATAGACAGTAGAAGATCTGATCTCTCTACAGGTCAGAGGACACACAGAGGGAGATGGGCTCTCTCTATGTGATGACAGTGGAGGGCCCCTGTAGTGGGTGGGATCTCTTTGAGGGCCCCTGTACTGTATCCGATATACGCACAATGGGGAGGAGGGAGGGGATCTCTCTGAGGGCCCCTGTACTGTATCCGATATACACACAATGGGGAGGAGATCTCTCTGAGGGCCCCTGTAGGACACACAGTGGGGTGGGGGGGATGGGATCTCTCTGAGGGCCCCTGTAGGACACACACAGTGGGGTGGAGGGGATGGGATCTCTCTGTGGGCCCCTGTAGGACACACACAGTGGGGTGGAGGGGATGGGATCTCTCTGTGGGCCCCTGTAGGACACACACAGTGGGGTGGAGGGGATGGGATCTCTCTGTGGGCCCCTGTAGGAGACATACACTGGGGTGGGAAATGGGATCTCTCTGTGGGCCCCCGTGGGACACATACACTGGGGTGGGAAATGGGATCTCTCTGTGGGCCCCCGTGGGACACATACACTGGGGTGGGAAATGGGATCTCTCTGTGGGCCCCTGTAGGACACATACACTGGGGTGGGGGGGAATGGGATCTCTCTGAGGGCCCCTGTAGGACACATACACTGGGGTGGGGGGGAATGGGATCTCTCTGGGGGCCCCTGTAGGACACACACAGTGGGGTGGGGGGGGGGGGGGAATGGGATCTCTCTGAGGGCCCCTGTAGGACACACACAGTGGGGTGGGGGGGGGAATGGGATCTCTCTGAGGGCCCCTGTAGGACACACACAGTGGGGTGGGGGGGGAATGGGATCTCTCTGAGGGCCCCTGTAGGACACACACAGTGGGGTGGGGGGGAATGGGATCTCTCCGAGGGCCCCTGTAGGACACACACAGTGGGGTGGGGGGGAATGGGATCTCTCTGAGGGCCCCTGTAGGACACACACAGTGGGGTGGGGGGGAATGGGATCTCTCTGAGGGCCCCTGTAGGACACACACAGTGGGGGTGGGGGGGAATGGGATCTCTCTGAGGGCCCCTGTAGGACACACACAGTGGGGTGGGGGGGGGGAATGGGATCTCTCTGAGAGCCCCTGTAGGACACACACAGTGGGGTGGGGGGGAATGGGATCTCACTGAGGGCCCCTGTAGGACACATACACTGGGGTGGGGGGGGGGAATGGGATCTCACTGAGGGCCCCTGTAGGACACACACAGTGGGGTGGGGGGAATGGGATCTCTCTGAGGGCCCCTGTAGGACACACACAGTGCAGGGTGGGTGAGTTCTGTGAGGTGTGGCCGGCGGTGCTGTCAAGCCCCGCTGTCATGTGTCGGATCACAGGCATCCCCCCGCACATCCAGGCCTCACCCTCCCAGTACACGGACCCTCTGCCCCCGGCCTCCCCCTCCTCTCGTGAACAGCGCGGCCTGTGCTCCCTCCCTTTCTGCCGCACCTCGGGCAGCCGCCCGTCCTCCCCAGTCACACTGTAGGACCCGCAGGCCGCGGAGCCTCTTCCCTCCTCCTCTGCGATACCTCTAGGACCCCGCTCACCTGCTGGCCACGCCTCCACTGGCGTCATTCAACAAACGTCAGCCAATCCTCTTAGGAGCCCCGCCCAGCCGTCAGCGGCGGCCGCCAATCCACTACGTCCTTCTTTCGCTTCACAGCGGACTCCTCTTTCCGGCCGGTCGGTTCGGGCTGATCCCTCCTTCTCCTCGCTGGTCACCCGGGAGACGGTGAACGTGACGTCACGCCGGTCGCAAACCAATAGCAGGGCGTGGGAAACAGAGGGCTCCGCCCATA